TGTTATTAAACCTAGATTAAATTATAATAAAAAATTTGAATTAAAAAAATTACACGACAAAACAAAAAAATTTAAATAGTTAATTTGATATTAATATCGATATATTTTATTTAAATTTTAAGATATCTTCAAATTTATATTTTATTCAAAAACAAAAACATTGTCGTTTTTCTTAAACCCGTATCATAACATCGACAGGGGACAGAATAAAATGAAACATTAAAATGAATATGTATTTCGTTGTATTACGCGAATACCCTTCTAGTAATATTATAAAACATCTGATAAATACTTAACAATTATAAAGTATTATTTATTGATGCATATTACTTAAACTTCAATATTACAGATAGATTGTATATAAATACAACTTATTAAAGATTCGTATTTGAATTCGTGTAACTAACTGCATATAAATATAATTAAATACATGATAAACATTATACTTTAAATATAAATAATCTAAATTTAATTAAAATAATCATTGAATTCTAATATAATATTTAATTATTATCTTTATAAAAAATATATTATCAAAGTAAAAATAAATTACTTCGTTATTAGACTTAAATTAAATTATGATAAAACAATTGAATTAAAGAAATTATACACAAAACGAGAGATTTAAATAGTTAATTTAATAATAATATCGATATATTGTTTTCAAATTTTTATGATATCTTCAAATTATTCAAAAATAAAAAATTATTGTTTTCTCAATAAACATATAAAATCGTATTATAATATCGACAAACACAAAGAATAAAACGAAATAGTAAAATCGAGATGTATCTTGTTACATTACGAGAATACCCTTTTGGTTATATTATAGAGCGTTTGAATCCAATTCTTAAAACTCTTTTTAATACATCAAGTATTGTTTAATTATGCATATTACTTAAAATTCATGATTAATAAACATAACCAATTACATAATAAACATCTCGTTTTAAATATAAAAAATCTAAAATATAATTAGTATAATCATTAAATTCTAACATAATACATAATTATTATCTTTATAAGAAAATCATATTATTAAACCTAAAAATAAATTAATTCATTATTAAACCTAAATTAAATTGTAATAAATAGATTAAACTAACATTTATCTTTAAAAAAAACATTATGTTATTAAATCTAAAATAAATTACTTCTTTAGTAAGTCTAAACTAATTATACTAAAATGAAATATTTCACCACATCCCGTTATGCCTTAACTACTTTGCCACAATCATTGTAGTTTTCTCTACCCACTTATTGGTTATCATATTGAAACTCCGATAAACACAAAACCCTAAAAGATGAACGGATGAGATTGTTTAATGTTTTAAATAAATTTGCTTAAAATGTAGTTTATCCAATATTTACTTGCGTTGTGTGCTTTATTCGAGACTCTTAAATTGTTCATCGTGCAATAAAAACGCCTTTGAAGGAATTTCCTACGGGATGGAGATTTTTCGAAGTTCAGGTTAAGGGGGTGTTTGGGATTGTTTATTTTAGGTATTTTTTTGACTTATTTCAGTCTGTCACCAGTGATAAGCTAAATGCTAGTGTTTGGAATAACATAGTTCCCTCGAATGTACAAAGTTTTCGTTGGTTGGTCAACCAGGGGTGCAGATTGATAAAACATATATTTGACCAGACATGAGTCGCTCCTTGTGATCAAGAAACCATTTTTGTTTCATGTAATAATGCTACAAAGTGAGCGGATCATCTTCTTATACATTTGTTATGTCTTCTAAAATTTGGACAACACTCTTCAGATGATGAATTTATTATTAGGAGTGTTCATCGATTGAAATCCAATAGATTTAGGTGGATCTGATCCAATCATCCAATGGATATTGGATTTTGCCACATGATCTAATCCAATTGACATTGCATCGATCAAATCCAATAGATGATTGGATCAGATCGGGTCCATCCATTAGATGTTACTATTGAATATCAATTAGATCCATCCAACTTTTTCAACGTGCATTCTTGAACAAAGAAGACGACTATACGAAGAGTCTTTGGGATTATGAAGAGAAACCGGTACAAAATAGTCATTCTGGAATAATCAACATTTTAAAAGCAACATTTTAACAACTTCTAAAATCTATTTTTATGAATTTAATATTCACAAAGTAACACTTTAGCAAGTTGTTAGAGTCCTACTCATGACATGTTGATATTAGAAGTGTTGCTCACGTAAAAGTGCTACTTACCCGACTCGTTTAAATGTTACTTTATGAATATTAAATTCATAAAAAGTAGATTTCACAAATTGCTATGGTCTACTTACGAAATCTTGATATCTTGGTCAATTGAGTTATAAAGTGGTTTATGAAATGAATTTTGGGGGTGTCTCTCAAATGATTATTTTGAACAATTTTCCTGATGAAAATGAGTGAAAAAATTACTTGTCAAAACTAAAAAGCTTTTAGAAAGATCATTGGGGTGCTCTCCAGATGACATATGATTCTTGAAGGTGCAAAAATACAAGTACCAAATCTAAAATTCTCTCCTAATAGCCGTTTAAAGAAGATCATAACTCATTCTTCTCAATGTCTTCTTCTTCTGCACCTGACCCGTTACCATTGACTGCTACAAGCTCTGTATCAAATATAAGTGTCGCCCCACCTGTTTATGTTGCACATAGATGGGTTTAGTACACATTCTCCAAATGGAGATTATACCTAAAGTTGTGCTCCAACAAATTCTCAAAAACAAAGAAAGTAGGAGAGAGAGTTTAACATTCTCTAAAATTCCTAAAGGCCCGTTTAGTCCGGATTTTATGGGATTTAGAATTGGATTCAATTCCAATCTGACACTTGGTTTAAATGAAAATCTAAATTGAAATAATGAAATCCCATGGGATGGTTAGTATTTCCCGGGATTTCGTATAATTTGTTTGTAATAATATTTTTAAATTTGTTAAAAACACTTGTTATGTAATAATCAATTAAAAAGTTAATTTAAATTTTTTTAAAATTTTTATAGGGAATGTAACTCAATTCCATTCCAAATCCTACAAACCAACCAACAGCTTAGGTTATGGCACACGGTTAAGGCTTAGTGGGATGTAGTAGAAATCTCATCTACCCTGCATTCGAATCCAAATGCTGCCAAATCCCTTGTGGCCATGAATTCATGGTCGCATGGGGATTAGTTGGTGCACGTAAGCTGGCATGGAAACCCACGGTCACCAGAGAAAAGTTTCCATGAAACCCAAATCCCTCCAAAACATTCCGTCAAAAACCAAACGAACGAAAAAAAAAGAAGCTTTCCCTGTTATAATGAGCCAAAATACCGAGTAAAAAAAGAAATTTTTACTGTCTTTGAGATTGATCATCAAAACCAGAAAGTGGAAACCATTCACAGAAGTTTTGATAACCAAAAACGGGAAAAGGGAGTTGCAAGGAGAGAAACTAAAACAGCAAAACCCAAGTGTGAGCTTGTGAGATCTAAAACCCAGGTGTACGTATTTTGACTGAAATGCTTGCTTCCCTTTGGTCCGTTTGGTTTACGGGATTTTATACGATTTGAAATTAAATTTCATTCCAATCCCACATTTGGTTTAAAGGAAATTCCGGAATTAAAATCCCACAAACATGAAATTTAGAGATCCCATGGGGTGGTTGGTATTTCACCAGATTTTATAAGATTTGTTTGTAATAACGTTTTAAAATATGTTAAAAACATTTGTTTAGTAATAACCAATCAATAAAAAGGTAAACTAAATATTTTATAATTTGTTTTTATAAATTATTTATAAAGATAAATCCTACATACCAAAGATTCCATATCCTTCCATGAAATTCAAATCCCTCATAAACATTCCATTAAACCAAACAGACCCTTTGTTCTTTTCCATTTTACCTTAATATTTTCAAAGTTTATGGCTTGAATTGGACTCTTGAACGCCTTAAGGTTTTCTTGACTTCATTTATCTTACTGTTAGAGATAATCACAAATTATTTTGTGAGTACTTAGGATAATGATTTCAATCAGTTGTCTTCACAATATTTAGGGAAAAATGGGGTTATTGTTACCAATATATTAAGGGGATAGAATTTGAATGCCTTTCATCTTTGTTTCTCTAGTTTAAAAATTAAGGCCTTCTATAAGAAGGAATAACTTATAAACAAAATCCTAGGGGTGCAGGTTCAATTGAAAACCACAAGTTCTGTTGTAAAATGAGGGACAAAGAAGAGTGTCACATGTCCTGGACATTCAAGGGATTCATTGAATGGTGTAAACATTCATCAGGAATATTCATATTCACTATTCATGATGAATTGGGGACAACTGGGAAACTAGTCGCACTCTCCTTTGTCCCCGGTTCACAACGGAAAAAATGTTTGCAATTGAACTTCCCTCAAAATCCTTAATACTTATGGTGAAAAGAATTATCTGGTTTTCCAGACAAAAAAAGCAGAAACGCGAGTAATCATTACCTGGTATGGTAGGCGGTGAACCCTGCTCTCCATAACCCATCTTTGCAGGTATCTTCAACTTGCGCTTCTCCCCAACGCACATTCCCAGTAGTCCTTGATCCCATCCTGGAAGAGTAATTTCGTTTCATGATCGAATTCGAAACAATTGGAGGATGAGAATACAAAAAGAAAGATCAAAGCGAAGGCAGTTAGTTTCATACCTTTTATCACCTGACCAGTACCAAGCTCGAATTCAATTGGGTCACCCCTCTCAAAGCTGGAATCGAAAACAGTTCCATCAATAAGTTTTCCCTGCAAAATGAGTACCGATCAATGTCAATTAACATATATGTTTTCAGCCAAAAAAAGGCTATTGCATCAACAAAATATCATGTTTATTCAAGGGAAGCACACAATACAGCACTTGTTCTCCTTCCCAATGGAATAAAACATGAGACACTACAACTAGTAATTACATGATATAGGTGAGAAGATGAGACACGCCCCTTGATGCATCCATACATGAAATAGGAACCCTCTATATTGTTGGAACCTCATTTCTTTACTCAAGTACTCTTTTGGAGAGTAAATCTAGGTTCCACATCACGTGGTATTAGAGCCAATGTCTACCACTCTCTGGACTTGACACTGTGGGACAATCTGTACTCGCCCAACCACCTCTCGACACCATAGGACAATAAGTGCCCCTCTAGCCTCCATTGGAGGGGGCATATTAGAGTCCCACATTTGCTAGACTTGAACCAATTCTCCTCTATATATGTTCATTTCTCTCCTCAAGGGATCTTTTAGAGAGTAAATCGGAGGGTTCCACATATTCTCACACATAGCCCACCCTTTTACATAAGACAAGCAATCAACTTTGTAAAATGTGTGCGAATAAAACTGATCATAATTACATCTTGTGTTACATTTATGAAGATATCCAATCATTCATTTAATGCTACGCAATTGTGGATAGCAGTAACAAATTGACACAATAATTAAATGAGTTTAGAAAAGAGGGGAGATGGAGATAGGGAATAGTTGAATATATTCTCACCCGGTAATGAACTTTAATCCTATCACCTCTGTGTGCTTGAATTGGACAAGATGCTGGCTTGTGCTGCAACAACAAAAGAGGGAGGTTCAGGACAGAAGAAAAGAAGGTTAAATGGTTAATGTCATCCATTTAGCATTAGTCAACCTACTAAGCTCATTAAAGCCATCATACATCAAGCAAGAATAAGATAATTGTTCAGGCTAATTGCCTCCCCATTCGGCGAGCTGAAATCAATATAAGTAAAAGTTGTTTCTAAATGATTTAGCCTATGTATTACCAAATTTCCAATCACTTGTTATGGTCCCAATGTGTAAATCGAATGACGAGTTGATCCTCTTTCTGAAATCTAACAGTTTCCGTGAACATGATAATGATTAATTGATCATCAATTAGCTAACGATCTTACTCTCTATAGATACATACTCCGCATAACCAATTGTCCGTACCAAGAAGTTTCTAACAGAGTAACAGAGCTGAACGCTTTGCAAATTACACGCCCCTAACTGGAAAACCTAAGACGCATTCACGACATCACGTGCTATACTAACAACAGTTCAATCAAATCAATGGAGAAAATAGAAGCTCATCGTTCGTGATGAAATTCATAAATTTCATAACTCGTGATCAATTAATACAAAATTACTTGTAATTGTTAACAGGCATCCTTATGTATACGAAATCAATGCATTAAATGATGATAATAATAATACTAAACGGCCGGAAATTTACCTTAACGCCGATCTGCAACTCCGTTACATCACCGGACTTCTTCGCGGAAACTGTTCAAATTTCAGAAAGAAGATCAACTCGTGAATCGATTTACACAGTCGAACCATAACAAGTGATTGGAAATTTGGTAATACAAACTAATTTTACTGATCTTGACTTACCAAATGTGGCAGCAACTAGCAGAATCAATACAAAGCCTCCCTTCATTGCACAGCTCAGACTCAAATTCGCCATTTTCTGCGAGCTTGTGAGATCATTCATCGATTCGGCCTTCCATTTTGTTGCATACGTGTGAAGCTAGTGACGAGGACTACCCAATCATGTATCGCCACGTCATATGTGAGAAAGAAAATAGGGTTTTGGATTACAACCAGCACTTCGCCCCGATGAGATAACAAATTTGCCGTGAATTAATCTAGCACACCCCCTTACATTTTAGATGTTTAACATTTTCAGCCCTTCAACTTTCATATTTGGCATTATGTGTTAAAAGTATTCCACATTACTTCAAAATGGTCCTACACAATAATTATAAGGGACTAGCCAAGTGCGATTATCCCACCTTTGATATGTTACTAGAATAATACTTATGCAATGCACCGAGATACATCTTAATTTTAATATTTTATTTTATTTTTTGTCTCTGTCGATGTTATAATACGTTTTTATATGTTTTTAAGAAATCAATAATGATTTTATTTTTTAATAAAATATAAATTTGAAGATATCATAAATATTTAAATATATATATATATATATATATATATATCAATGTTAATATCAAATCAACTATTTAAAAGTTCTCATTTCTTATGTAATTTCATTAATTTATTTTTTATTATAATTTAATTTAAGTTTAATAATGAAATAATTTATTTTTGGTTTAATAATATAACATTGATAATAATTAAGTATTATGTTATAACTTAATGATCATCCTAATTATGTTTTAGATTTTTTATAATTTAAAATGAGATATTTATCTTGTATTTGATTAACCTTAATTATGTCTTATAATTCTTTTTTCATCATCAATCATTTGTTATAGTTTATCCATACTTTTTAAATCATAAGTGTATTACATTCAATTATTCTATCACTTTTAGTTACATTTCAGATTTTTAACATGGGTGCTTGTCGGAGGGGTGTGCCACGACGAAACAAGGGAATGAAAGGTTGCTTTGCTTGGATGCTCTCGCGTCGTGTGTTTTGTAAGAGAAAACTACATCAGTCATTCCTATTAAGTGTGTAATTATGTAAGTCAGCTCGAGTATTGATATGCTCAAACTCGAAATTGATAAACATTTATGATGCTCAAACTCGACGCGAAATGCACGAGTAATTAGAATACAAGTTCGATTTGAACTCGATAGCAAAATTTCTAAATTCAAACTCTTTTGAAACTCGAATCAAGCCCTTTACTAGATCAATTTGATTGGTTACCAGACTGACCAAACTCGCCCTCTTTTTAAGTTCAACGCATTTCACAAGGAAGTTGGTTGACTCGTCCATAAGCTAGTCAGATAACCGATCCTAACTAATCTTGGTTCAAACAGTCTTAAGACTGTACTCATTACTAGATTAAATTTTATAAAATTTTAAAGAAACTAAAAGTAACAATATCTAATATCATGTGTTGTGATAATTGATCAATTTTGTTTGGATGAAAATAGAACTTTCTGCTACATGTTTCCTCTCGTTTATGTTAAAATCCGTTCCTTTTAAAATATATGAACGATTAGATCTATAATCGTTACTTTCAATCATTTAATGTCTGAATTAGGGGTGTTAATGGGTTGGGTTGATTGGGTAGAAGACATTTGAACAACCCAACCCAATGCTTGCGGTTTGGAAAAATCTTAACCCAACCCAACCCAAACCAAAGTGCAACTCAACCCAACCCGTATGGGTTGATAATTTGGTATATTAAAGTATTTTTCTAACCTTGAATATGTTATTTCTCTACTCATAGTTTCTTTTTCATCATCAACCATTTGATACAACTTATCCATATTTCTTACATATATCACATTCAGTTAATTTTCTCAATTTACATATATATGAATAAGTTATATAGAGATATGAATAGATTGAAAATATGTGTATATGAAAAGCATACATGATAGTGTAATTGTCTAATGTATATATGAATAGAAATTCAACAATCATATTAAATCCAATAAATAAAAGAATATCGGGTTCATCGGGTTGGGTTGGGTTCAAATAATAGTAACCCAATACCTACGGTTTGACAATTATACAACTCAATTAGACATCGTGTTGCTTCGGATTGGATTATTTCGCATTGGATTGGGTTGACCAGGTTGGTCGGGTTTTTGAACACCCCTAGTCCGAATCTAATACCAGCACGAGGTCAATGTCCCAAAAAATGGTCCACATCAAGTGTGTAATTTATGAAACAACTTTATTTTTTACATCAAAAAGCGTAACATGTCACATGACATATTTTTATAAAAATGACAGAAAATATAACATGACATCTGACATAATATCATAGTCGACGTGGGATTCTAAATTATGACTAATGTACGATATTTGTTTCATATCTATATAATATTATAAATTATTTGACAAAAAACTTTTAAAAATCATTCTTTATGTATGGAGTATTGTATATTGATACATATTACTTAAAATTTAAGATTACAAGTAAATTGTGCGTAAGTATAACTTATTAAAGCTCRATTTTTGAATTCGTATAACTAACTACAGATAAACATATTCAAATATAGGATAAACATCTCATTTTAAATATAAAAAATCTAAAATATAACTAGGATAATCATTGAGTTCTAACATAATTATTATCTTTATAAAAAATTATTGTTAAGTAAAAAATAAATTACTTCACTATTTGACTTAAATTAAATTATAATAAAAAAGTTGAACTACATAAATTGTAAAAAAAAAAACAAGAACCTTAATAGTTAATTTGATATTAATATCGATATATTTTTTCAAAATCTTATGATCTTCAAATTTATTTTTCTCAAAACTACATAAACCGTATTATATCAATATAGACAAAAGATAAAAGAAAACATTAAAACGAAGATGTATCTCGTTGAATTGCACGACTACCCTTCTAATGCATCTAAATATATCCAATGCCACCATGCCATGTGTCTTTAAAGAAATGTGGTTTTTTAGATTTAATAATAAAGTAATATTTTATTGTTGTTCAAATTATTTTTATTTAAAGAACTCTTAGATGTTGTTTGTTTATCTCTTAATACTTCTATTAAGAAACGACTTCTGAATCATTATGAGATGAATCTTGTTTGGTTAAAAAAAATATGTCTCTTAATGGTTTTGAAACCCTTTGAATTATTTTGTATCCTGAGCATCTTTTAACTATTCAGCGTCATAATTTCATTATAAACAATTATATTTCATTTTGCACTATATCATGAGAGCCTATTAATCATTTCAACCACTTAATCATTCTGTATCAAACCACTTAGTAACTACCAAACAACCTCTTAATTCCCAGATTGGGAACAAAACAAACATATGAAATCAATTGCTTCACATATGAGCCCTAAATCATCATGCAAGGTCATCTTCCTTCGCAATTCACAGTAAGAACATCGAGTTTTGTGTGTGATTTTTCAAATGGGTATGTAAAGAGAAAACTTATTGCTATAGTCTTTATAATAGAATTCATCTGTCGAATTTACTGCACAGTAATTTTTTACGGTTTTACACAAGGTGATTGTTGTCTTAGTCAAGGACGGTAGTTTAATGGTAAATGAAGCTTTGAGATTGATTGGTGTTCTTGATGATATCAAGAAATTTGGTTTAAGGATTAGTTATCCTTATTGATAAGTTGAAAAAGGTAGTATAAAATGAAGAGGGTGGTCAAATTTAGAGGTGCTTAAAAACCCGATCAACCCAACTCAACCTAATACGAAATAACTTAACTCGAAGCAACCCGATGTCTAATCGAGTTGTTTTCAAACCGTAGGTGTTGATTTGATACTGAGTTACTATTATTTGAACTCAACCTAACCTGATGAACTCGATATCCTTTTATTTATTTGATTTAATATGATTGTTGAATTTCTATTAATATATACATTAGACAATTAAACTATCATGTACGCTCTTCATATACACATATTTTCAATCTATTCACGTCTCTATATAACTCATTCGTATATATGTTCAGTAACTGTGAACATATATATGTAAATTGAGAAAATTAACTGAATGTGATATACATAAGAAATATGGATAAGTTGTTTTAAAAGGTTGATGGTGAAAAAGAAATTATGAGTAGGGAAATAACATATTCAAGGTTAAAAAAATATTTTAATGTACCAAAATATCAACCCGACCAACTCGACAAACCCAACCAGCCAGAACGATTTGGTTTGGGTTGGGTTGCACTTTGGTTTGGGTTGGATTGGATTAAGATTTTTCAAACCGCAAACATTAGGTTAGGTTGTGCAAACGTCTTCAACCCGATCAACCCAACACATGAACACCCAAGTCAAATCGACTATTTTGGAAAGAAAAAAATTATTTTTTAATTGTTTGTACAAATCTATATATATATTAAAGAAGAAACCACATGTAATGATGTGGCCTCTTCTCAAAACAAGAAAATATTTTATCTTTTTTCTCCTTTTTTTCAAACTTTTCCTACCTCAATATTTGTTTTTGATTTTTAATATTCACATTTAAGACCTTTTAATTAGGTTGTTTCAACCTATTCATATTCYYTATAATAATTACTCTTTTAACTCTCATTATTTCTCTCTATTTGGTTACAAATTTTCATTTTCTCTTCAAGGTAAACCTCTATAATAATCTCTCAATTCTTCCTTTATATTCATGTATAATTTTGTGGTACACTTCTATGATAATCTCTTTATTATCTCTCGATTTTTTCTTTCTATTCAGTTATAAATTTGTGGATGTTATTTGCATTTTTGTTTATTTGAGGTGTCATTCAATAAGACAAATCATAATATGAGTTTTTGTTTATGTAAGTATAATATTTTCTTTTTTTAGTCGGAGACATTCACAATATAGTTGAAATTATGTAGGCATATGGATTTCTTTTTGTGTAGATAAAGTGGCATATGAATCATTGAAGAAACAATTTAACATTGTTTAAGCATAATATCTCTCTTAACCTCTCAATTCTTTCCATCTATTCAGTTTTTTTGGAGGTCATTCGTATTTTTGTTTATTTGGGTTTATATATTAAAGAAGAAACCATGAGTTGTTGAGATG